TTATTTTCTCAAAAATTTTTGCAAAGTTAGATATTAATGAAATAGGATGGTAATTTGTCACATTGTTATTTCCAAATAAATAAAACTACAAACGAAATTATTGTTACTACAAACAACTACAAACGATTCTAAAACACATGGCGCGAGCGAATTTCAAATATCTCAATTTTAAGCAAGAGTGATTTTTAAAAATCTTTGTTTTTGCAAAATCGATAAAACTACAAACGAAATTATTGTTATTACAAACAACTACAAAGAAAATGCTACAATTTCCTTTTTTTTAAAATTTATTTTGTTAAAGTCGGGTGCCAACTTCACGGAACTGTGTTCTTTCGCCTATTGAGTCGAATTGTTTTGGTCTCGGCATTCCAAAGCGAGGCATATTTTCGTGCGTTGTTGACCGGCTGCCATCTCCTGACTTTGTCGACCCTTCGATTCGAAATCGTTCGTCGGTTTTCCGGCTGTTTTGCGCGTGTACACATATCTCACCTTGTTGACGGATCGATCTTTCAACATGCCTAAAGGATATCGAGCGCGACGCGAATTGTGTATTCGTCGTATGAGGGAGATAGACCAGTATTCGACGCTCGCAATAGACAACGCGGCTCAGAAATTAAATTTTCTCGTGCGTTATCCAACCGTGCGCCAAGTAGTCGGGGATTTTGAGGAAGCGCATCTCAGGATAATCCAAGATGCCACGGATGAAGAGTTCGCTGCCGAAGACGCGATTCGCGGCGAATTTGACAGAATGCGTTTCGCGGTAATAGGACGATACGAAACGTTAACTGCCGCGGAGCGAGCAGCCGCACAACAGCCGTCGCGACCCGCGCCTACTTCGGCCATTAAATTGCCGAAGATCGATCTCCCTAAATTCGAGGGCGACTTCGCTCTATGGCCGTCCTTCATCGCCTTATTCGACACGGCAATCCACGAGAATTCTGGGGTCGCCGATATACAGAAATTTCAATAATTGTTAGCCTCGCTATCGGGAGAGGCTCTTGGCGTCGTAAAGAACCTGCCGTTGACCGCCGAGAATTACGTGATCGCGTACGATGCGCTTCGGGGGCGCTATCAAAACAAGCGCAATTTAGCCACGCAGTATTGGCGCTCGTTTGTACACGCCAAACCTTTGGTCGCGGATACCGCCGAATCGCTCCACGCCTTGTTGGACGTGTTCACCGAGAACACGCACGCCCTGCAAACGATGGGATATCCGGTGGAGGCGTGGGATTTTGTGCTACTGAACCATTTGTTGGAGAAGCTCACCCCTACGCTACGGGAGAAATTCGAGGCGACCCATATGTCTGCGGAACCACCCCGGTATGAACAATTGACAACGTTTCTAGCGGGATATTGCACGGTGCTCGCGGCGGTGTCGGACGCTTCACCGCAGTCAAACAAATCGAAAGCGCAGAATCAGTCGTCGAAGAGGCCCGCGTCGACGACCTCGCTCGTCGCGCAAAACGCCGCGTGCCCCAAATGTGGGGAACAGCATCTACTGGCTAGGTGCCCCGATTTCTTAAAACTCTCGACCAAAGACCGATATAACTTCGCACGCGAAAAAGGACTCTGTTTAAACTGCCTCCGTGCAGGACATAATCTGACAAATTGCCCTAGCTCTTGGACCTGCCGATCTTGTCAGGCGAAGCACCACACTCTCCTGCATTTCGAGCAGGCCAGCGTCCCACCTCCCGCGAACGCTTCGACGGCTACTCCGGTCGACGACCCCGCGGCGCCGGGGGATACAGGCGGAAACTAGACCAGGCGGAACACATTGTCTCGAGACATCATTGGCGCGCGCCCTTCGCCCCTCGTGATGTCTCTCGTCCGTTTCGTCGTTGCTTTATGCCCTTAATTGTAGTTTTCATTCAGACGCCGTCGAGTCACTACTCACGGTCTCTCTTGTTACCACCGTCTTGGCGTCTCACCACTCGGGTGTCGCCAAACAGCCGGACCTCAATCGGAGGTCACCAATTCGAAATGCATGATACCTCTCGCCCGTTCGTCGCATGGGCACGTTCGTGGCGAAGATTTCGCGTACTCATAGTTTCGTTTGGACGAGGTCGAGTCTTACACACTCACCCCGTCCCGGGTCCCTTACGACTCATCGTGCACCGTCGAGTCACCATACACTCACGGTGCTTTTGGACACCGCCGTCTTGGCGCATCACCACTCGGGTGGCGCCGAACGGTAGGACCTCATTACCGCCGTCTTGGCGTAGCACCATCGTCCTCCCGCTATCACGGAGGGCTTCGGGTGTCGCCAAACGGTCGGACCTCATTCGGAGGTCTCTCGTTACCGCCGTCTTGGCGTGTCACCACTCGGGTGTCGTCAAACGGCCGGACTTCATTCGGAGGTCACACATCGTCACGCGTGATGTCTCTCGCCCGCACGTCGCATGGGCACGTTCGCGGCGAAGATATTCGCGTAATCGTAGCTCGCTGAACGAGGGCGAGGCCCTACATCCTCGCCCCGTTATCGTGCACCGTCGAGTCATCGGACACTCACGGTGTCCGAGAACACCGCCGTCTTGGCGGGTCACCACTCGGGTGACGCCGAACGGTAGGACCGCATTACCGCCGTCTTGGCGCGTCACCATTCGGGTGTCGCCAAACGGCCGGACCTCACTCGGAGGTCATAACCGGCGAGTCACCACCCACTCCCGGTATCGTGGATATTTCCGTCTTGGCGATCACCACCCAGTCAGAAATGTAACCTTGATTCAAGGTTAATTCAACGTCGATATGGTTGACAGCTGGTTGAGTCGATAAGAAAGTCGATATTCCTGCAATATCGATCATGTCCAGTCGATTAATAGCGCTGTTTTGAGTGCGCACTTATAAAATTCGATCAATTTAGATTTTAATCCTAAAAAATATTACGACATTGTTTATGTAAATTGTACAAAATAATTTTATGGACGTTTAAGAAATGGCGTAATTGCGCGATCAATCACATATGTATAAATAATATATATAAATTTTATATTTAGGACCTATCCAGACAAACACTGCATATATCCATAAAGTAAATAAATTATATCCAATTGAATTTTACAATCACGCGCGTAAAATAAGACTGGATAATTTTCTTTATGTATATATATGGTTATATGCAGTTATGCAAAGTCTGGATTGACCCTGGAGGCCATACTGTGTGAAATCTGCAAAAATTACGACTTGCGAATTATAAACGAGTCTAAGAAAACACATACGTATATATAATGCAACATTAAAATGATTTATTTAATCATATGATTGACATGCAAGCTCATCGGTGTCCGCATTCAGTAACCGCTTGTAAAAAGT